ACTCGAACCCACAACCTTTGGGTTACGAGTCCGACTCTCTAACCATTAGGCCACGACTTCCCCCACGACTACACCGGAGAAAGCATTGACGTGCTATAGCGGCGCTTGATGCGTAAGGGACCGTCTGACAATTCCACCGATTGGGTTTAAAACGTCCAATGTATTTTAACTAACGTGACTTTTAACATTTAAAATAAAACATTGCCAAACTGTAAAGCATGTATAACTCATAGTGATTTACTACAGCTATCATAGTGATTTCATCGTGCCTCGTCCAGTGTAGACAGCAGATTTCTATTTGCTTTGGACACGTCGCAAAGCTGTTACTGATGATGCACTGGATCTGTGAATGCTATGTATTAGGCCCATATAATCCTGAGTTTATCCTCATTCACTAATCCGATGGAAATATTAAGAAGCCTTACACTCCAAAAATCTTTTGGAAACAGTATTTTTTTTTTAAAACAAACAGCGTTTCAGCTCAGTTTGAATGAAGTGTCCATAATGCAGTTCCTTCCTTACAGGGGTGCAAAATGAATCTGCTCCCGCCCTGATTGTAAAACAAAACGTGATTGGTAATTGGTTATAGCAAGAATGTGCTATGATTGGTCAGTGAAGTGTGGCTGTTGATCTGATCTGTCCCCAGTACACGCTGCAGTGATGCTGAGGCTGCTATGGTCATTTGGGTCTATATTTGATATATATGTGTTATTATGCCCTATATTTGTCACTGCAATTGTGCTTTAAAGGGCCATGTCTAGTCTGCTGCTAGTTCTTTGAGGTCAGCTTGGTGTGTCCCGGCCTTTATACACCAACATTCTATATCCAACATCTATATCCAGCATATCTGAAACAGATTTTTTTTTTTACCAAATCCTGAACACAGTTCCTTGCAGGGGTGCAAAATGAATCTGCTCCCACCCTGATTGTAAAGCGAAACATGATTGGCTATAGTGAGAATGTGCTACGATTGGTCAGCGATTGGTGAGGCTGTTATCTGATTGGCTTGAGTAGATGGTGGGTGGAGTCCACACATTTGTGGATTTGTCAGCATCTTGACGCTAAAAATGTTTCAAAATCCACAAATGCGCGCAGCGATCCACAAATGCACAGAAAGCCATTCACAAATGAATGCCAGGCAAAGTTGTGTTTGTGACATGAAAAGATATTTGTGAATATGTTTTTTATTTGCAAATCTCATTTTATTTATTTATGAATTTCATTCATGTTTGTGAAACTCTAAGATTTATTTTGTGGATCTCATTCTATTTATTTGTAACTACAGTGGGTACGGAAAGTTGTGTTTTTCTGTCAATATGGGGTGCTGTGTGTACATTAATGAGGAAAAAAAAATAACTTAAATGATTTTAGCAAATGGCTGCAATATAACAAAGAGTGTAAAATTGAAGGGGGTCTGAATACTTTCCGTACCCACTGTATGTTCAATTTTTGTTCATCTCTTTACATTTATTTGGGGGTCATAATCTATTTATTTGGAATTTTGCAACAATTCTATCTCCATATTTAAACAGTGCAGAATGTCTAGGCCTTCAGTAAGTTATTAAGTGCCAAAAGACAAGCATGATAGCATATCTACTGAACTATTTAAGTTATTTAAAGAGTGCCAGCTGCCAAATAGGCACAAAAAAATCTTAAAGTTTATATTTGTATTACTGTTGCAAAGGTAAATCTAGGTAAAAAGGTAAAAGGTAGCTTTCTTCAAAGTTATATAACTGTTTTTTAAGCTTTGTCCCATTGTGCCAATTAGCTTACATAACAGCAATGCTGTTATTAATTATGACATGTAATGAAAACATTATAAAAAATAAACAGTAATATAACTATTTTATGTTCAGATTGTATAAACTACGCAGTAAAGATGGTAAGACACTACATTATACATTTCTTTAGTTGTTTCTATGTTGTTATTTTATTTATGTATTTTGCTTTACTCTCACACACCAGTATGGCATGCGTGTTAAGTCTGCAGAATGACAGTAATATATGTGCAAAATGATTGAAATGTGGTGCAGTATGATATTGGATTCATAATGCAATTTCAATTTAGCCTTTATTAATTACATGGCAAATTTAAAATATTTATATAAAATATTCCAGAGCTCTTTCTCTTTTTAAGTCTACATATTAAGAAAGTAAATAAATAAAAAAGAAGTATAATATATATTATAAATTAATAATCTATTTACTCTGTCATGAAGTGCAGTTTAAAAGTTTTTTTTTTTTTCATTTTGATGGTAAAACTAATCTATTTGAATCATCTCTATATCTGCATGCATGAGCTCTAAATTGTCATTTTCATAATTATAACTTGAATATTACTCTACTAATACAGTGTTCAGTGTCCAAAAATGTCTCAAATAGCATACTGTACTACTAGTTAAGTGCACTTTAAAACTTATTTTGCAATGTGTATTGATCGTAAAAACAACTATTTGCATTATTATAAGTATTATGAAATAACTACTTATTATAAACTAACCAAAACAAATCTATTTCACTTATCTCTAAACTGCTGTTATCCTTATTACAACTTTTAATATTACTCTACTAATATAATGTGCAGAATCCAAAAATTGCTCAAATTATAATCCAACATTATACATACAGACATCAGTATCAAACTATATAAATAAAAATGTTGTACTGGATGTGTTAAACTAATCTTAATTGATTCCAAAGTGTTCACAAGCTTAATTTTGGCATGTTAAGAATCAGTTTATCGAGTTGCATGTTTAATCTTATAAACAATCTGAACCTTGTCTGATTGCTTTAACTGACAATCCTGAAGGACAATTATATAAAACTTTGTCCTATCTAGTGTTGGTTCAAGTTGTTATAACCCCCAATTATGTTTTTGCAATGAAAAATGGGCATGCACTAGCCCATGTCTTTATAACCTCACATCCTCACTACTGGAAATCTCTTTTCAGTGGCCATCACCAAAAAACATTTCAATACACAACACAGATTCTGCAGATTTCTTACAAACACCTGTGGTTCATTTCTCATAAAGCCCTCCAGTTTTGTTAGATTGTTTCTGCCTTCTTTCTTTGTTGTCGTCATTTGTTGGTTTGTGAAATCTTTTGGGTTTGTTCTGTGATAATGCTTTACTGTATATTGCTCCCTTAATAATTTACTTTTATTCCTTTAGCAAACACTTTTATTTGTCGGCCACTTACAAATTATTTTCAAAGCTACTTACCAAACAAATAACTGGACTATTGTTAAGACAATTTTAATAGCTTATTTGTAGATTAGTTTTAAACTTCTACTAAGAAGCCAGAGGAAATGCCACAGATGATCAGAATCAATAGACATGAAATATGTGATTAATATGATTTATTATCATATAATTCTTTTTTTTTGTGTGGTAGTCCTGTTAGCGGTCATAAAATGTCACATACACTACAATTCAAAAGTTAGGGGTAAGTTTATTATTAATTTTTAAAGAAATTAATACTTTTGTTCAGTTCGTTAAATTGACCAAAAGTGACAGTTTCTAATTGACATTTATAATGTAAAAAAAGATTTCTATTTCAAATAAGTTCTTTTGAACATTAAATTCATCAAATAATCCTGAAACAATGTTAATAATAAGAAATGTTTATAGCAAATCAGTATATTAGAATCATTTCTGAAGGATCATGTGACTGAAGACTGGAGTAATGATGCTGAAAATTCAGCTTTGCATCACAGAAATAAATTATATTTTAAAATATATTCAAATAGAACACAGTTATCTGAAATTGTAATAATATTTCACAATAGCACTGCTTTTACTACATTTTTGACCAAACAAATGCAGCCTTGGTGAGCATAAGAGACTTCTATCAAAAACATGAAAAATGGCCAAACAAGACCTACATGCTTCTTCAGTCTTGTGTCATAAATCTTACCTGTCTGAATTGTTTTTCAGCGCTAATGAAAGCTTCTCCAGAGGTCTTGACTGAATGTATTTCAACAGGCTCTCTACCGATAAATCCTTAGGTAACTGCACTGCAAGAAAATAAAAACAGCACTTTAAACACTTAGCACTTTTGTTTATTTTTATTTTTTTTTTTATTTTTTTTACAAAGCAAGAACAAGCAAAAAAATTAAATATAGACTATATAAACAGAATATTGACTATATCATGTTATATATTGTGTACGAATAAGAACCGCACCACTGAAAAAAGAAAACTGCCGTTGTTTTGCAGTCATGCAGACCATTGTTTAATGCACATTTTATTAATGAGTGTCATCGGGGGGTTATCAGGTTTTGGTGGGTGTGTTTTGTTCCTTCGAAGTTCTATAGCGTCAGTAACACACCTTTGGTTTAGTCTGGCCATCTAGTTAATGATCAGTGAGCTGGATTGGCTTTTGTCCATTCTGGTTGGTGGTGGAAACATCAGGCCAGATAAGACTCTGATCATCATCAGTATCACTTATGTTTATCCAATGAGAGTGAGAAAGCCTTTCATTTCCTCCTGTGTTTCTTTACAGTACCAGCACAGGCAGAGGTAGAGCAGAGATCTCTCTGCTACCTGAAACTCCCCACATTCTCCTGCCTCCATCTCTCCACTGGAACTAACACTCCATACACACAGAAGTGCAAAGACAACAAGAGAAATGCATTTCCAAATAAAGAGCTGGACATGGTCCGTATGGTTTACACTTGCTACTTGCACGGTAGGTCTTCACTTGACATATTTTCTATGTGTAATTTTGTGTGACAGAATCATCGGCAAAACATGTGAAACTGTCTGTTTTATAAGTTTTATACTGTAAAATGTGTAAAATGTACTGTAATGTGTTTACAGTTTTTCTGCATTTTTTACAAAATTATTCTGGCAACCACAGCTGCCGAAATTATTTTGTAAAAACTACAGAATTTTTTTTACAGTGTAGAAACTGCTACGTAAAGGGTTTTGGGGTTATTTGTGGGATAGGGATCAATAACATGAGTCAGAGTGATCCTTGTTTGATAACTGATTTACAAATAAATGTAAAGTGTTTCGCAATAATGAAATATTGAAATATGTTTGGATTTACAGCAGACTGCAGACTGAACAGTTGTCTGTAAATAAAAAAAAATGAAGATTTCAGGTTTAAACATGGTAAAAACATGTTAAACTGTGGTTAAAATCAGTTGTCATTACGCTTTTTCCACTGATATACATCTAGACTTCACAATCTTTAGCTTTATTAAACACTTTCTGGCCTTAACTGTGACACAAAATAGATTTCTCATGGTATATTTGCTTATCTCATTTTATTTACTTGTGAATTAGTTAATAATTTTTGTGAATCGCCTCAGATTTATCTAATTTTGTGAATATAAAATAAATTTCACCTCATATGATCATGTCCACACTTTTTCTGACTGTGGAATGTCTTCTTAGAAAATATTTAGGCACAAACTATGATCATGTTTTAAGCTTTTCTCAGGCCTCCACAGTCATAGAAGAGAATATTAAAATATTCCAAACTTGGAAAATTAATAAAAATTAATAACATCTTTAAAAAAATAATAATGTAAATTCATTGGTTAAAAGGTGTGGGGCCTCTGTAGAAAGAAGTGTAATTATTTAATATTTACCTCTTAATTTTATTGTTATATTATTGTTGTAAATTATAATTCTAAATAATTATAATATTATAAAAAATTTTTAAAAAAGAATATATAAATGCAGGGAAACTGTAAAAATCTGAACTCAAAAGAAAGATTATTATTGAGTTCTGAAATGTGCTAAAGATTCAGTATTGCAGATCTATAAGATACCGTGAGAAGTACCTAAATATCTTTGTTTCTATTGTATCTCTGTTTATTGCAGATTCTCACAGGTGCTCAGCATGAACCAGGCTACTGCTCATTTTATGAGGACTGTGGCCTAAACCCTGCAGTGGAGGGGGCTCTTATCCCCCCTAGGGTACCCTGTAAGGACTACAGAAAAGCTGTGAATGTGACAGGAGACCACTATGAACTTTTTAAATCCGTGTGCCCGATGTTGGCCCATGGTGAGGGTGAAACATTGGCCTGCTGCTCCATCAGACAGCTCACTGCTCTACAGAGCAGCTTGATGTTGTCCAAAGCCGTGCTGATCCGCTGCCCGTCCTGCGCCGACAACTTTGCGCATATGCACTGCGCCACCACCTGCAGTCCCAACCAAAGTCAGATATTAAAGATTACGAAAACCGCAAACATCACGCAACCCACTGGCATTGTTAAGGAAGCTGTGGTGGGTTACGAGGCTTATGTATCTACCAGCTTCTCAGATGCATCGTTTAGGTCCTGCAAAAACGTACGAATCCCAGCCACCGGAGGCTATGCCATCGCCACAATGTGTGGTCGCTATGGTGCACCGCTGTGCACGCCACAACGCTGGTTAGATTTCCAGGGCGACTCGAGCAATGGACTGGCTCCTCTGGATATTAACTTCAAGCTTTTGCCAGACGGTCAGACCGCTGGACTCCCACCAGGAGCGGTTCTGTTTGCAGGAACAGCATTGAATTGTAACGAGACGACACCGACAGGTGGCGAGGCCTGTTCCTGTCAGGACTGCGAACAATCCTGTCCAGCTGTTCCACAGCCACCACCTTTACCAGAACCATTCATGATTGGTCGACTAGATGGTGTCCTTGTCATCTGCATCATAGTCTTCTCCTGCATCCTTCTCCTTCTCATGTGTTATGTAATTTTAGAGTACACTATCCACTACCAAAAGTCAAAGGGCGCTCGGAAGGGCAAGAACAGCAAGGACCAGAACGAAAATGAGACTGAACGTAAAATCAGTCCTAAAGATGTTACGTGCTCTGATAAAGCCAGTCTTGCCACTCAGGAATTCCTGGGATCTCTTTTCCAGACCTGGGGAACCATAATGGCACGATATCCTCTGATAGTGCTCCCAGTCTGCCTGGTGGTTGTGTTGGCATTCGCAGTGGGAATAAAAGACATAGAACTCACCACAGATCCTGTCCAGCTCTGGTCAGCGCCCCAAAGTCGTGCCATGCGTGAGAAGGCCTTCCATGATGCAAATTTTGATCCATTTTACCGCACCAATCAGCTGATCCTGACCACTCCGGACAGGCCCAGTCACTACTATGACTCCTTACTCTTTGGCGAACAGAACTTCAGTGGTATCATCTCTAAAGGTGATATTACCTAGTTTTTCCACTTTTTGGTCAAATAAAAATCTGTGTGGTTGTCTAAATTAACTAGTCATGAAAGTCTCAAAAGCATACTTTAGATCTACTTTCACAATACAACAGAAGTAGCAACAGATTTTTTTTCAGTAGCCTACGTTCACCAAAGAAAAAATGATAATCGAAAAAGACAAAAAAAAATTAGAGCAGAAACTTGGTTCAATCCATTAGTTATTTAGCTATTGGAAGTGTATGTTCATCCATTAGATTATAGTAGTTCTTGATTTGTTTGTGTTTTTTGAGAGGGCTAAATTTGTACTCTCAATTTTTCTATAATACACACGTTTTTCTCATTAAAACTCCATTACACCGTTCATGTGTTCACCAGATCAACTCATCAAACCATGGAAATTTTTTTACGTAACAAAGCAGCGTTTGTTGAAATCACGTGACTTGGCCAGTTTGAGTCGCTCTCCGAAACACTGATTCGAAACAAAAGATTCATACATGTTTCGAAGCTTTATTAAGCAGCGTTTCAAAGCGGCCATCACTAGTTTTCTGTATACATTTCATCCAAAATTCGAACTTTTTTTATGCTACCAAGAGAAACACTGTGAAGCTTAAGTTTGGATGTGTAGCTTACGTAAAGGATGTGGAATTGCAATATCAAGAGCAATAACCGACATTTATTATTGTTTTGTCATAACCATTTAGTCCTAATCGTTTTAAGCAGCTATGCTTAAGTTTCAGTCATATTAAAATATATTGTGTATGTTTCTTTCGCACAGATTTGATCATTGAGCTGTTGGAGCTTCAGCAGAAAATCCAAGCAATTGAATTATGGTCAGATGAACTAAACCGCACTGCAAGCCTTAAAGATGTTTGCTATGCGCCACTCAATCCAGACAAACCCTCTTTAACAGACTGCGCTGTCAACAGCCTACCGCAATACTTCCAAAATAGCATGGATAACCTGAACGCCAAAGCAAATATGACAGAGCTCGGCGTGACTAAGGAGGTGGATTGGAGGGACCATTTCATCTACTGCGTTAAGTAAGTCAGATATCTATATCTGTAGTTGTCACATTACCTACCTAACATTTGAGACTGCACGATTTGTACGCAGAGATTTTTCAGGCAGACAGGATGCAACGTAGGTTACATTGTTAAGCCAGTAGGTGGCGACAAGTGACTCCTTATGAGTGAGTCATTGAATCATTTGCTCACCAATTGATTCAGTAACATAATTAATTCAGGAACAAAATAAGAACAGGCTCAATTCGTAATTTGTAGCATACTATTAGGCTAGTAATATACTAATACAAAATCTATATAAAAGCTTTATATGTCAGAAATAGTAAGATTAGTATACTAGTATGGTAGGCTCCATCCAAAATTGCCAAAGGTAGCCTAATTGTTTTGAATAAGTATGTACCTTGCGAATGTTTAAAAAAATTGTTTTCTATATTGAATGTGTGCCTTATTAATGTAATCCGGATGTACTACATTCTTCATGTTGTCATTATAATGTGACCTACCAGCGTAAGTTACGTCGATACACAATCATTCACAAATCCTCTTATGTGGCCTGATGGGATAGTAAACTGTCTCGTCCGAACTGGCAGGTCATCCGGGCAATACGCTAATATACTTTGTGCCTACTGGTTTATGAATACTGTGAATTCAAACATATTACACTTTTCACATACTGTTTACTATGTAGTAGGTAACTATACCTATTCAGACACAGCCAGTGAGTGGCTCCTATATAGAATATTAGCATATCACTACTATAATAATAAAAGAAATGGTAAGAGTAGTATGCTATTTCGAAATCAGTTACTGTATTCATAGGAGAGTCATTGAATCATTCACTCAACCAACTAGATTGTTCTAAAACGCTGATTCAATCAAGAACAAAATGCTACCATTTGAATGAAATTGTTTTCATTGGTGATAAAATAGACAAAGTTACTGCTAATATTGTCTAAAATGTAAGTTACTCAATTATTCTTGTTTATTGAACTGTATTATAAAAACAATATCACACAAAACATAACTATATTATGCTTGCCCACAGCTCTCCATTATCATTTAAAGACATCACAGCTCTTGGCATGAGTTGTATGGCAGATTATGGAGGCCCTGTCTTCCCCTTCCTGGCTGTAGGAGGATATGAGAGTAAGACACAAATCTGGTGGCTAACATTTCACCACTATCTTAAAGATTCACTGGGCTGACTTTGGCTTTCCATTACATTTTCAGATGAGGAATACACCGCTGCTGAAGCCCTGATCCTTACCTTCTCCCTAAACAATTACGCACGAACTGATGTTAAATTTAAGGTGGCTGAAGAGTGGGAACGAAGGTTCCTTGAGATTGTACAGGAATACCAGAAAAACCCAAACACAAACTTCACATTTGCCTACATGGCTGAGGTGAGACTATGTTGACCATATGCTGTAATGATCAAAGATGTCAGTGTTTACAGTCTCATAATCGAACTGTCTGGTGCTCTGCAGAGGTCTTTGGAGGATGAGATTAACAGAACGACTGCAGAGGATATCCCCATATTCATGATAAGCTATGCTGTCATCTTCCTCTACATAGCCGTGGCTCTTGGGGAATATACATCCTGGAAGCGTATCCTGGTGAGTGCGTAACAGAGTGGTTAATGGCTTACTGGGAATTTTCTCATTTCTGATAACGGGAATAAAGGAAGAAGCAATTATTTTCTTAAAATAAAGGCCTAATGAAAACTCCAGCATGTTTTAAGTGTGTTCTGAGCAATCGAATCAATACTTTCTTGATTAAAATAGTCCAGTCCTATTAATAGTTATCAATTAAAAAATAGATATAGATGTTATTAGTTATAAATATTTATTTTGTTAACAATACTAAAATATTGCATCTAATATAAATAGTGACAATTTTTAAAATGTTTTAACTCTTTTAAAAATCTCTGATTTTTTTTTTTCACTTCACTTCAATCTTTTTTAAAATGGTCCTTTTAAATATTGTTAAATATTAAAGAATATCTATGAAATGAGGTTGTTAAAGTGTCATTAATAATAATTATAATAGTTTTATAAAAGTGTCGTCATTGAGTGCTATAAAGAGCTGATAAGCAAATTGTATTATTATTATTATTAGAAGAAGAAGAAAAAGAAAATATTTTTAGATGAAACACATACAAAAGTATCTCAGATGAGCTACCCATTGGCGTATTTTGACAAGGTGATATTATTGTTTTCATAGGTAGACTCAAAGTTCTTGGTTGGACTGGGTGGTATTCTGGTGGTTGGCTGCTCTGTCATGGCCTCAATGGGTTTCTATGCCTGGATTGGGTTTCCGTCCTCACTGGTCATTCTGCAGGTCGTACCCTTCCTTGTGCTTGCTGTGGGAGCTGATAACATCTTCATTTTTGTTCTGGAATATCAGGTTTGTTGAGTTTATTGAGTTTTCTTCAATTGTTTTTTTTTTTTTTTTTGCTTGCCTTACTAGGGTCAGCTATAATCACACTGTAGGTTGCTCTTAACTCACTTTTCTTAGTCACCATTCTACTCTACCATTCAAAACTTTGGGTCAGTTAGATTTTTTGGAAATAAATTGCAATTAAAGGGAATAATAAATGACAGTAAAGACATAACGTTACAAAAAATATATTTAAAATAAATGCTGTTCTTTTGAATTTCCTATTCATCAAAGAATCCTAAGAAAGCATATCCTTGTAATTTAAATATTAAGCAGCTGTCTTCAACTGTGATAACAATATGAAATATTTCTTGAGCAGCTATTCAGCATATTAGAATGATTTCTAGAATGATCATGTGACACTGAAGACTGGAGCAATGATGCTGAAATTTCAGCTTTACCATCACAGGAATAAATAACATTTTAAAATATATTCAAAGAGACTTGTAATAACATTTCTGTTATTGTTGTTTTTACTTCACTATCAATCAAATAAATGCAAAATTGTGTGTGTGTGTATGTATATATATATATATCTATCTTACCAACCCCAAACTTTTAAATGGTAGCGTATATCTTCCATTATATTCTATTTTAGAACTTAAAGATATTACTGTATGTATCTACTACTATCGCTATAATTTCATAAAACATGCTTTCTTTCTGTATTTTCTATGTTTAATCTCTATCAGAGAGATATGCGCAGACCAGGAGAGAAGAGGGAGGAACAGATTGGGAGAGTTCTTGGAAATGTGGCTCCCAGCATGCTGCTTTGCAGTTTGTCTGAATCTGTTTGTTTCTTTCTGGGTGAGAATCTCCTACTGATCTCAAACTCTACTTTAATCCATAAAAACAAGTACAAGAGAGAAAAAATATATAATTTTCAAATCCATTATGGATATAAATCAGGAACATTTATTATATTGCCTGACCTTTACTCACTTGTGCATGTCAGCGAGACCTGATGCAGTAGATATGTACCATCCTAATTAAAGAGAGATATGATTCATGTATAGTACAGCCAATAATGTACTTTCGGCTCCTGAATGAGTCATATTTAATGCAGTCAATGGGTTCAGATTCATTCCATCTATGAGGAAACATATATACTGCTGATTAAACACACCCTTACTGTCTCTTTGCAGGTGCTTTGAGCACTATGCCAGCAGTGAGGTCTTTTGCCCTGTACGCAGCACTGGCTGTGCTCATGGACTTCATTCTACAGATGACTGCCTTTGTGGCTCTGCTCTCACTTGACGCTCGGCGTCAGGATGCAAACCGGTGTGAGATAGCTTGCTGCGTTACTGTGAAAACTCCACACCCATCCAAACCCAACCAGGGCATCCTGCTCCCATTAATGAAAAAATACTACGCCCCTGCACTGCTCAACCCTGTCAGCAGGGTATTAGTGGTACGTTCCTATTTCGCCAACATTGGTATTAGCATGTTTCTTCAATTACAAGCACTTTTATGTCCCAGGGTGGATTTATATTAACCAACAGATTTCAATATAATTTTTCTTTTCACATGAAACTTGGAAAAGTTGGAAAATTAATTTATAGTGAATTACTGATCTAGGGATTTTATAGATTTTCCTTTGTCCCATAAAATATGAAAATAAAATAATATGTTTAATATAATAATCTAAAAATAATAATAAAATAAATTACATTTTTTTTTGTTGAAATTTATTTCGATTTTGTACTGTTGTTGCCTTAGTTTTGTACCTTAGTTGTCCTTAGCATAATTCTTAACACAGCCAACCATTTTGACACATAAATACATAAAATACATTTATATTTTACATATAACTTTAACAGAACAAAGGAAGACATTTTATTCCAATAATATATACAATGTAAAACTAGTAAATGTGGCTAAAAGTGCCCATTGGTGGGAAACACCCATTCACAGAATTCTATTTTATCGCTTTCTAAAAAAAAGTTGATATTATGATTGTAACTGGGAGATTTTCTGTCCTTTATATGCTCTTATATGAACAAATTAGTAATAGTTTAATCTTATTATGTCTTGTTCTCTTAGATGGTGGTGTTCCTTGCGATTTTCTGTGCCTGTGTGTTCCTCATGTTCCATGTAAAAGTGGGCTTAAATCAGGAACTGGCCATGCCATCTGTAAGTACACAAGTTTACTCTACTAGCCTGCCAATAAAAATGACCAATTATGCCAAAATGCAAATTAAAAAAACCTTTCAGTTATTGAATATTAAGTTATAGAGTGTTGACTTTCTCTCTTTGTCTATGCGTAAATATTATCAGGACTCCTACATGTTGGACTACTTCGCATACCTCTATAAGTATTTTGAGGTTGGTGTGCCCACGTATTTTATCACGACCAAAGGGTTCAATTTCACCAGTGAGGAGGGCATAAATGCAGTGTGTTCCAGTGTGGGATGTGACCAGTTCTCTTTCACCCAGAAGATCCGATACGCCACCGAGTACCCTGAGCAGTAAGTCTTATATATCTATATTAAAGCACTCTATGTAATCTGTAAATGTAAACTTACAGTAAATGTAAAATATACATTATTTAAATATAACTAAAGTTGTTTATGTAATGTAATTGTATACATTTTGGCCTTGATTATAGTCTGTAAATACAAAAATCAGGTGTTAGCACCAATTTACTTATATATTCGGTGGTCTGGCAGCACTCCATACTCTTTACCTCATTTGCTCATTACTTACTTACAGTTCATGAATTCTTTACTAATTAAAATGGTAAAATAAAATGCCAAGTCACACAGAGCTTTTATAATATTGGTAAAGAGCCAGATAAACTATGAGCTATTGTGTCATATTATGCACTACCCTTCAAAAGTTTGGAGTTAGAATTATTTATTTTTTTTAGTTTTTGAAAGACCAAGGCTGCATTTATTTAATCAAAAATACATTAACAACTGTAATATTGTGAAAAATGATTACAATTTAAAATATTTTTTTCTATTTGAATATATTTTAAAGTGTAATGTATTGCTGTGATGGCAAAGCTGAATTTTCAGTAGCAATTACTCAGTGTCCCATTATTCACATTATGATCCTTCAGTAATGATTCTAGTATGCTACCTTGATGCTCAAGAATAATTTATTATTATTATCAATGTTGGAAGCAATTGTGCTGCTTAATATTTTGTGAAAATTAGATTCCTTTTTTTTCAGGATTCTTTGATGAATATAGAGTTCAAAAGAACAGCATTTATTTGAAATGGAACCTTTTGTAACAATGTACTGTAAAAATCTTTAGTGTCACTATCAATCAGTTTAATGTGTCTTTGGCTTGCTGAGTAAAAGTATTAATTACTTTTAGAAAAAAAATTAGCTTTTGAATGGAAGTGCGTGTTTATGTCGTGAGAATACTTTGCTTGCAGATGACACTTAATTTGATATATTGTTTAAAAAATGAAATTCATAAAAAAAAATTTGAAGTGAGACTTACTTTTCTTTTAAGCTGCTGATCAAAACTAAAATCTTGCTGATTGCTCTAGATCTTACTTGGCTATCCCAGCATCCTCCTGGGTGGATGACTATATTGATTGGCTGAACCCTGGATCCAAATGTTGTCGTATCTATACGGCTGGCCCAAACAAAGATGAATTTTGTCCTGCCAATGAGAGTAAGTGTTTCTATATAATTTAGCAGTTAACATATAAAGCCTTGTTGTTTAGTGTGTGTGTGTGTGTGTGTGTGTTTCAATGCAGCATTCTTAGAGAACTAATTATAAACTTTTTTTGACAGCTGGTCTCTTCATGTGTACCAAGAAGTGTATCAGTGTACCCGAAAATGGGGTTCTGCGACCTAGTGTTGAAAATTTTAACAGATTTCTGCCAGACTTTCTTAGCAACAGACCTGACCTACAGTGTCCAAAAGGGTAAGAAAAGCAACCACCTGAAAGACTGAACAGAATAAATGTTTAGAATAAAACATGTTCATGATTATGGTTTCATTTCCAGTGGTTTGGGAGCTTATGATAAAGCTGTGGTTAGAGACGAAACTGGGGAAATAATAGGTGAGATGCATGAATGAATTGTATGTGTAACAATTTGCATTCACCTTCTATAGCAGTGGCTCTCAACCAGTAGCCTAATTTTAATAATATGATTTCTAGACCTGGAAATGGTTTATGAAAAATTATTTGGGCATTTTTATAATGAATATACATTTTTCTAGTTATGCCAAGCATAAAATATTTTTAAAAGATTCCGATAACACTTTACAATAAGGTTCCATTAGTTAATATAACATGAGCAAACAATGAACAATACATTTATTACAGTATTTATTAATACAGTAGTGTACTAACATAAGTGTTAAGGCAATAAAAACATGTTTTGCACCCAAATTACAATGTGCGTGATGTCTAGCAAGCATTTAGCTAAACTTAACTAACCACCCTGTTAACACTAAAGTTCCATTAGTTAATGTTAGTTAATGTATTAACTAACATGAACAAACAATAAACAATACATTTATTACACTATTTATTAAACTTTGATAATGTTAGTCAATGAAAATACAGTTGTTCATTGTTAGTTCATCTTCATTCACAGTGCATTAACTAATGTTAACAAGCATAACTTTTGATTTTAATAATGCATTAGTAAATGTTGAAATTAACATTATCTAAGATTAATAAATGCTGTAGAAGTATTGTTCATGCTTAGTTCATGTTAACTAAAGTAGCTAACTAATGTCAACTAATGAAACTTATTGTAAAGTGTTACCAAGATTCCTTATCCTTAATTCTCCAGTAAATTATGAACAGCTTGAAAAGTCATGAGGCCTTTAAATATTGTTGTGAACAATGGGGAAACTTGTAGTCAAAACGGTTGAAAATCACTGTTCTACAGAACTATTCAGTCATGATGTCAATTTGTAGGCTATTTTGCATTAGTTCCCATCATCAATTTAAGAACAGCAGTTTCTGGTTTATGAGTCAATTTAGTTGTTAATATTACTGTATGAAATTTTAATGTTTTGCTCTATAACATCAGTTAAACACTGTCATATCACAACACAACTCTTGAAACTAGAAACAAGCTATGTTGCTAAAAAGTTGCTAAGCTACAACGACTAGAACAGTTGTTGTCAAGCAAGTAAACTCACGTCCTTGTGATAGTTGTAGTCCTTATTTAGTGACTTGTTCACAATGTTTGAGGTATGACTGTAATTTGTGTTAAAGAATAAAATGTGACAAAGCCACAGACCCTAGTTTACTCATAAACTGAAGCCCACTACTAGCTAAAATGCTAACTGTCTTCCAGGGTTTGAGGCCTTCAGACAGCTCATATAAAACACATGTAAGTGTTTGATTCATTATGTCATCTCTTCGTTTTTCAGCGTCTCGTTTCATGGCCTACCACACTCCTCTGGTCAACTCGCAGGAGTTCACGGCAGCGCTGGAGAAAGCCAGAGAACTGGCACATAATATCACAATGACCATGAGGAACGTCACAGGCACCTCTCAAGACTTTGAGGTCTTCCCTTACACGTAGGTGTCCACTTCTAATCCTCCCTTATCTTACTACATTTAACATCCTCACCCTTGCTGCTTCTTCTTCCGGATAAGATAAGAAGCAATAATCAGTTCATGTAATCATATTGAATGATAACGCGTCCTTGAGCTACTTAATAAATTGCAAAACAGCATCACGGATCCTAGAGCTACTTCATATTTTTCTTTCAACTACAGGATGGAATATATTTTGTATAGCAGGGATGTCACGCACCTATTTTAAAGGTGGCACCAGTGAAAAAGGAGTGCGCTTAATTTAAATGCATGTGCAGTTTGTAGTGTACTTAAAATCTAAAAAGTATATTTTTAATAAACTCTACTTACAGAAAATATATTAAATAAAAGGCCAATTAAGTGTACTTTGAGAGGTCTCTTAACTACACCTTTAAAAAGTGCACTTTGCAAATTTGTCAGATTAAAAGTTTTACTGTTAAAATGCATTTTAAATCATCAGTTTTTGATCATCTATTTGTGTTCACTTACATGCTAAAGCACTTGTAAAGTACTTGATTTTCATTTTAACTATAGTGTGTTATGCAACATCACATTTAAAGTTAATATATTTCAAATGTACTAAATTGCAACTTCATCATTACAAATGTGTATTTACAAATATATTTAAATACATGACATACAAGTTCAATAGAAATAGTCAGTCCTTTCGGCAGTACAGTTTAACCATATTTCAAATAGAAATAATTATGAAATTCCATCAAAAGATGCACTCAAAAAGATGTCAAATGAATATGTTAGACTAGAAAGAGGACCCAGGTTCAAAAATCTCTGAGCGCTGATTCTATGATCTTTTATTTCGCAGTGTGACGTATGTGTATTACGAACAGTATCTGACCATCGTGAACGAGGGTTTGTTCAACATCGGCGTGTGTCTGCTCCCCACATTCGTTGTGTGTTGTATCCTGCTCGGCATGGACTTGAGATCAGGCTTTCTGAACCTGCTCACCATAGTGATGATCACTGTGGATACGGTTGGTGTCATGACGTTGTGGGGTATCGACTTCAACGCTGTGTCGCTTATCAACCTTGTGACGGTGAGTTGTTCAGAGAAACACTGTATGGTCTGCATGTTTGCAGTTCATAAAAGTAGTCAGGAACGATCTATAACATTCTCATCTCACTGTGGGTTTGTTTTTCAGGCCGTTGGTATATCAGTAGAGTTTGTGTCTCATTTAACACGCTCATTTGCACTCAGTATTCAGCCCACGAAGGTGGAGAGGGCAAAGGAAGCCACAGCTAACATGGGCAGTGCGGTGAGTACCACAACAAACATGTTGAAGCTTCCTCAGTTATGCATTAGTTTGTATGTCCAGTTGTTGTGTTGTTTCATGCGCGTGTGTTTTCTCTTTCCAAGGTGTTTGCTGGAGTTGCGATGACCAATCTACCTGGAATAGTGGTGTTGGCATTGGCTAAAGCACAGCTCATCCAGATTGATTACTTGATTATAATTTAATCGCAGTGTGTTGTGTTATTTTATTTTACATTTAAGGTTAATATATTTCAAATGTACTAAATTGCAACTTCATCATTACAAATGTGTATTTACAAATATATTTAAATACATGACATACAAGTTCAATAGAAATAGTCAGTCCTTTCGGCAGTACAGTTTAACCATATTTCAAATAGAAATAATTATGAAATTCCATCAAAAGATGCACTCAAAAAGATGTCCTACCTATGTCAAAAAGCACTCTTAAGTTCAACCAATTGTGTTTAATATGAATTTAAACTATAATACATTTTCATTTAATTGCAAAAAATATGGAAGTGGGTATCCAAAAACATTATGTTGAGTTCACACTTAATGGCCCACGGCCTCATATTTCTGCCCGTGCTGCTCAGTTTCTTAGGTATGTTGCATGATTATTAAGACATGCAGTCTTTATGCACATGGTGCTCAATCCCAAAGAGTTTAAGTTCAAAGAGACTAGTTAAAATTCTAACAAAGTATTGTAATTGCATTGGTTTTGCAGTGTGCAACATGTAAATTTTGAACAAGTAAGCAAATTCGTATCCCAAAATGCAAATACAAAAATGTCAGTCAGCCAAAATGTAAAAGTTTTTACACAAAAACCACACACACACAAACTAATGACCAAAAATGTGTATTGCATTTCAAATCTAAAAACACAGACAATGAAAAATATATAGGAATCATCCAGTAAGAACAGATAAGGAAGAGGGAGGCATCAGACATGTCAGAACAAGAGTTCCATCATGAAGGAAGAAAAAAAAAACCTGATGCAATTTGTTTATACAGTCCAATATGCTGAAAGAGATGGAAATGTTATTTTAGTTGACATTACCACATACCACTTGATGAAATAAATGCAACATAATGAGGCAACAATGTAGCATTCTACCATTTGAATAGTTACACAATTTGAAGTGTTATTGAGAAATACAGTAAGAGAGTATAAGAGTTAATATTAGAGTTAAGAGTTTAATATTAGTACATTGTATTGCCAAATAATCAGTTATTTTAGTATTATTTATATACTATGGTAGTATTTATTCAAATGTTGAATTTGTGTTTATTTGTATATTTCCATTTTAAATGTAGTTTAAATAATTCAGTAATTTTATGTGATTGTCATTTTTATTTTATTTTTTATGTTTTTCTATTGATTTTTATTTATTTATAGTTTTTGTAATTTTAGCACCTTAACTTCAACTTAATTTACTTTAGTATGTTCAAGGTTTTTCATCTCATATTTATATTTTATTCTATTTCAACTTTATTTCAATTACTTTTATTAATTTTATTCAATTGCAATAAAAGATTAAGTTAAATTTTAGTTAACAATAAAAGACTATGCAGCAAGCACTAATATTCCATTCCAAACACTTGAACCAACCAAATAAAATCTGGTGTATTATAAAAGGGTTTGATTAAACAAAACTAATCAAAATCATCTGTCTGTGTTGCTCAGGTCCTGGTGTGAACAACGCAGTTCTGCTGCAGATTCAAGAGAAGAAAGCCAAAGAAATGGAACTCAACAGCAAAGCTACATATGACAACATTAGCTTCGAAAGCCATGAAAAGTAAAATGGCGAAATCTCTGTACAGCCATCATATCCAATAAAGGCTGGCGTTGTCTCCAAGACCACCCAAGAACCCAGCGAATTTGAAACTGATGTTTTGTAGCTCTTACAACCTGCTCTCCCTCTTTCTTCCAATTCATTTACCTCTAAAATTAGTGAACTGATAGTATAAGAGAATCCTCCGAATGAAGGGATCACCTGCCATAACATACACTACTGCATGTGAGACCTGAGGGAAAAAACAACCAATTGCATGCTCGGAAACATTTGAAGCAGAATCTCATCTTGCTATGTCAGCTCTATGCCTCTTTATGTGGACGCAGTAGTTGCGTTACTGCTATAAAACGGTCTATCTCCTTCTGAAGATGTTCATGAGAGATACGCAGCTTGTCAGTCCTTCACCATCATTTTTACCTGTGATTATCTTGCCCAGGCCACACCCGAGACAAAGTGATAATGGATACAAATGAGGAGCTCAATTCCACTGTTTTAGAAATAAGAAAATTAGTACAATAGTTTAGAATTATTGTACTTTTTATTGTGTAATATTTGTAAAGTTATATTTAACTTTGTTGTTATGTTTCATGTTGCCATTTTTGCATGCAAGTAATTGTCTTGTTGAGGACAGAAAGCAGACACTGCAACTCAAATAACACTCCAGTATAAAGAGCATCTGCTCTTGTATTATAAGCATTACTGTAATTATATTAAATGCACTGTGTGTATATCTACATTCTGTATAAATGTTCAATATTATTATCTCAATAGTTCAATATCTCAACTTTGCATTCAAAGTTTACCATTTACTGTTAAAGGAACAATAAAGCACTTTTACAGCAGTTTATTGGCTGTATGAATGTAGGCAAACTAATACAAATTTCAAAGGCAATCAATGAACTTCTTTTTTTAAAGGATATTTTTACAGGATAAATATTTAAAAATGTAAAAACACTGTAAAAAACAAACATTCAAAATAAACTATACTGAACTGTAATATTGCCTTCTCATATGAATATTATCTAGCAAGTATTCAAATATTTAAGCCTGTCACTAAACAGCTTTTAACGTTATTGTACAAAATCATCCTACAGTAAATCAAAGTTCACATTTATTGGCACATATCATTCATAACATTCTATATTAAACATTTGTGCAATGAAAAACAGGTTTTATACAGCCACACAATTACACTGCATGGACCAAAATAAAAGGAAAATCAAATCCTAACAATGGAAAGCTCTGAAATTAATGACACTACACTAATGAAATAAAATATATAACACTATCAATTGAGCAAACAAAGCACCTGCAATAAAGATGTGCAATTCTTACGTTCACACACACACATACACACACACACACACACACACACACACAAACACGCACGTACCCAAAGACTTTAACCCAGAAATCTGTTGCTCTCTGGCCAATACTGCTGCATAAGGGAAATCTCTCTCACTCACACATGCACTCATTCACTGGTGCAGAGTTCACGATGGTCAAAGGGGATGTTTGGAGAAAAACAAGGGCCTAGTCTCTTAAAATTTATTATATCTTTCATTAATTAATTAGCATAGCTATCAGCAATAAAATAAACGTCCGAAACACATAAGTCTATAAAGATAAACCTCTAAAGACTGAAAGACTGTATGTATATCTTGGCTGATTCTTGTTTCATCAAGTTAAAAAAAAAAAAATAAAAAAAAAAAATAAAAAATATTGAGCCATCTGCCATCTAGTGGACATTTGTTTTGTTGTGACAAAGTAAAATATTCGTACACGCTTCAAGAGCACATTTGGGCTTGCTATTCCCTATGTATACACATAATATACACAAAATCATTTAGTTTAATGACTAAATTTACATTTTTAAAACCATTTTCTAAAATGTAACTCTCTGGTCTGACTGAATAACATGCACTGCTCTGTCAAACAGACCAATCCAGAACCTGATTGGTGACTTATGAAACACAGCAGATATTGATCTGTTGATGACCATGCAGAACTGAAGCATCTAGTTCCCTCCTGCATGAAATATTGTCTCAAACTGTGCGTTAAGACCTAAACACGGTTCATGAGGGTGCTTCACAGCAGGAGAAGCTCTGACTTAACATCAGTAACTCAGAATCTCTGGTAGACAGGCGGACGTCCCGTTCAGAGGTCAGCATGTAAGAGACCTGTGTTCACGAGCCTTCAGTCTTGCTCTTTTTTCCCTCCTAACAGAGATAGTGGCAATTGAAAAATTATGAATTTCTGAATATCATAGAATTGGACTTGTCGCCCATTTTTAATGGGCCCAACACAGTTTTTGAAAGAATGTCATATTCTTTATTTGTTTTAAATCTCTGGTCTGATACTTTTGAACCCCATAACATGCAAAACAAAAGCAAAAAAGGCAAAAAAAAAGCAAAGCTAAACAAAACAAAACAGCATTGCACATGCACAAGGTTTGTTTGGTTCAAACATTTGTGATTGTGTAACCATGCATTTCCAAGGAAAATTAATATACATGTACATTTTTTAAATATTATCAGTATTAACAACTTGAAAATGTTGAAAATCACAATTTTCAAAATATTGTTGAATTAGGTTTGTCCCCCTTTTTGAATGAATATGTATGTCATAATTATTGATGTTATAACGTTTATTTGTTTTAAATGTGGTCTCAAACTTGTGGACCGAATAACATAACAAAAATAAATAAATAAATAAATCCAAAATAAAAAGCACAAAGAAGGACAAAACGAATTAAAACAACACAAAACACAACAAAACAAATAGCACAAAGCAAAACAAAAAAACAAAACACACACCCAAAAATGTAAATAAATAAAAAAATTGTCAAAATAAAATAAAAAGCGCAAAGTAAAACAAAGAACAAAATGCAACAAAACAAAACACAGCATTGCACTCGCACCTTGTCAAAGTTTGGTTTAGCTCATACCTTTTCGGTTGTGTAACCATACATTTCCAAAGAGCAGCATAGAGGGCTAACAGAAAGCCTATGAACACTGCCGCAGCAATCGCACCTGCAAACACACATACATACACCTGTTACACTGCTGTCTGCAGTCTGGAAAACATTTGTACACAGAGGCACATAATCTGTGTCCTCTACCCAGAGATGAGATACGTAACACTGATATAGAGCGTGACAGGCTACAGTTTCATTGTCTGCACTTCAAAATCACTGGTATTTCCAGTGAAAAATGCAGCTTAGACACTCTGGTACTATTAGTAAACATCTCCTATTTATGAAACATCACAGCTGCTTTATATACTGATCTTAGGCATGTGAAAGGTCAAAGGTCCCACTAAATAGGAAAGAACTGTCAGTTTGTTTTTCATTAGTGTTTTTCATCAAGGAGACTGACCCTGAGAATCAAGACATATATAGACATAAACAGTGTGTGTTTAAAGAGATATATGGTGTAGTGAGGAAACAGAGGGAGATGGAAAATCCCAGTGATGAATTGGAAACCTGTTTGAGCCTGTGAGCGGAGAAGCTGAAACAAGGAAAATCAACCCTTAACTATGATTTAACACTCAACATTCACTTTCTCTTCCACACCCTGGTTTTTAGATTAGTTTTAAAAACAAATAAAATCTGATTTAGGGCATGGTCAGGAGAAATTATGCAGACCATATCAGCTAATCTCTAATGACAGATTCAAGTATTTATGTACAGAGTAAGTACACAAAAAAAAAATAAATAAATAAAGAGCCACTGGGTGATCTCTCTCTCTCTCTCTATGTATATATACTATCTACATTTTTGTGCTTAAGGAGGTGGAAAAATCTATATCCTTCTAATAGTACATACATATACAGTAGATATAAAGTCAATTTAAAAATTTTGATATTTCTGAGAAAAGCTCTAGCAGCATTTGTTTGCAGGTTAGTTGGTATTTTTTGTAATTCAATGAAATTTAGATATTTTAAGTTTCACTTTGTGTGGTCAATAAATGACATTCTCATAAACATTTAGCAAACAACAGGTTATATTCTCATTAAATGATCAGTTTATCCACTGACGATTCAATGGCATCCTTTCTCACAGACCCACACACCCTTCGAATACTCCTCAGTACAACTAGATTTCTCTAGAAATGTATATTGTTTGAGAATTTATTGAGTTATTGTTGGACAAAATAGTCCCTTGTTGTTTCTTCCCGGCAAAAGGTTAAACAAGTTGCAAAATCGAATGATTAATTTCACACTTGATTTCAGCACTTCTCAGAACATGAAGAGAAAAAGACAAACGTCATCTACAGGAGAAAGATCACTAAAAGTGGAGAGGACACAGATAAATCATGTTTCCAAAGGTTTTGTTTTGACAGTACTATATAGTGTGTGTATATATAAATAACAGGAGGGCCTGGTCACATCACTGACAGGTGAAGTATTCAGGCTTGATCTGTATGAGCTGTCAGCAAACAAACATATCTTTCTGTTGTAATGTGTAGTAGTTTGGGGTCAGTAAGATTTTTTTAATGTTGGCAAAGAAGCTCACCAAGGCTGCACTGTAAAAAAAAATTTACGGTAAAAAAACGGCAGCTGTGGTTGCCGGAATTTTACAGTAAAAAATACTGTAGCAACATTTTAAGTTTTACGGTTTTAACTAAACACCAAACACCATCATGGTAACACACATGAAACTGAAATAATGCAATAAACATTCATTTAACAACATGTAACATACAACCCTAATATACAAAATTGTTAAGGAAACACTAAGAAGAAACATAGTTATTTCAACAACAAAAAAACATCAAATTTGAAATGTAACGCAGGGAATTCTGGGAATGTCAATTTACGGTTATTCACTGTAAATTATATGGTCTTTTTTCACTTCCAAAAATGGTCTGCTACCGTAAAATTACATGTAATGTCCAATACAGTTTTTCACCGTATATAGTAGGGGAATTTACCGTTAACCATTTAACAGGTTTTTACTGTAGCAGTTTTACAGTCTTTTACTGTTAAATTCACGGTCATTTTTTACAGTGTGCATTTTTTTTTTTATCAGAAATGCTGGAAAACACTAATATTGTGAAATAGTATTACAATTTTAAATAACTGTTTTCTATTTTTATATGTTTTGAAATGTAATAATCTATTGTGACCGTCAAAAATGAGAGATTGTACCTGGTATTATTCCACTCTCTCTGTTCATGGCGGTCTCAGCAAGAGGGGGTGGATTGGTATTTGCTGAGCCTTTAGAGACAATGAAGATTATGTTAAAACATGAATGTACAAACTATCATTAACCTGATGTAATTAAGGATGTTTGATGTACTACCGTTTCTATCAGAGTTGGAGGGGGGCCATGAAGACACTGGGGAAACTATCTGGAGAGAGAAAACAATAGGCTATTCAGCATTTCCTAAATTTGATCTTTTAGGAACTAAATGAATTGCAAAAAGTTAGTGTTATTATAAAGCTTGGAAGATCCAGGACATTTTTTTAATTGTATTCGTCTGAAAGAAGAAAGTCGTATACACCTGGATGGCTTGAGGGTAAATCATGGGGTGATTTCCTTTTTGGGTAAACTATCCCTTTAAATACCATAAGAGAACAGTGATTGGTGCGGAAGGGTTATATAAATATTATATATATGTTTCAGAAGCGTGGCTACATTTTGTAAGAATGAAAGAATGCAAAGACAACAATGATTTTTGACCTTTACACTGACACCAATCTGTGTGGATGCAGCATCACATCAGAGCAAGTTTTCAGATACAGATGTCAATGTAGACATTACCTATCCACAGGTATATTTCTCACCTATGATTAATCTATTCTGTAACAGAAAATGCCTGGTTATGGAGATAAAGCAAGTAGTATTCGTCTAGTCATGTGATTCCAACATGGCAGCTCCCATGACGGGCGACCTGCCCC